GAGCTAAAGGCGAAGTATTGGCAGAATTACGTTACGATTTACCGTCTACGTATAAGTTTCATAAAAGAAAATCTATGGATATTGAAGTGGATTTTGTCAGATTTCAGGTCAAATGAACAGTTGTCAAATTTTTTAACAATATTTTGAATAAAATCTTGTTCGACAACAGTTTCGTTTATTTAATTTTGATTTTAAAAAATTGAGTACATATTTAAAAATTTCATTTATTATTTCTTTATTGCTTCTTTATTTTAATAGATGTTTTTTACATATGGTGTCAAAGCTAACCATGAAAGTTTAATTGTGAACGAACCATCGAATTGAAAATTATTAATCTGACGTACAGTTGCGGACACGGAATTTTGGACATAAAATTTATGTCAAAATTTGAAAGTTTTAGTTGAAATTTATTTTTGACGTTGATTTTCTGAAACAATAATGCCAGCAATACGTGTTTTGTATAAGTTCATGATTTGGTGTCATTATTTCTCTAGCTGTCAGGATAAAAATTACAAAAACTGAAAGGTTAGTTGCTTAAGGCCCATTTTCATGTCAGTCGAATAACAAATCGTTCATACACTTGAGTGCAAAAAAAAACGCAAATTGTCAAATTTTGAGATATTTAAAAAGTGTGAAAAAGGTTGTTCCCAAATAGGTTAGACACGGAATTAATTCCGTGTCCGTCCGCAATTGTATTGAAAATTATGGTCCGTTTACAAGCTCATAACTAAAACGCCAAAAAACACTCTTATTAGTGTATTTATTAAAACAAAAGTTTATTAGAATTGTGACTAATATTGTGAATTTTTGAATAAAAATTATTGGATAGATGGGGATATTTATACTGTGAAGGCAATAGATCGTATAAAAAAACCTTTTTTGATTTTAAAGAGAGAAATCTATCCCGGCGCATCCACCATTTCGATATTAATACGATTCAAAATCAAATTAATTTGAATCAAATGGTAATATTTACCCATTTTTGATTACATAGACTACCATTATTCATTATTTTGTATGTATGTATTTTAACAATTTTAACAAAAAAAAAACAATAACATGTCAAAAACTATGAGAAATAAGTAAAAACAAAGTGAAATATAAAAATCGCTCTAATCTTTTTAGCACTTATTCATACTACTTTAACACACTGCATGGATTTGTCATATTATATTGTATAAAACTAATTAACATTATTTTCCAAACTAAATCGAAACAGTATCAATCATTTCATCCTCCTCGGTCTCCGCCATCGAAGCATGCCATATTCGAATTTCCTCATTATTCTCCGACAAAATTTGCAAAGTGCTTTCAAGTCTGCTCATTGCCAACTGTCGAATTTTTTTGTTGAGTTCAGGAAACGGTTCAATTGCCTCTTGAAAATCTCTTCGACTCAACTTGAACAATTCGCATTCTTTGACGGCGATCACAGTGGCAACTCGAGGTTCATTAATTACCAAAGCGATTTCACCGAAATGGCTACCATCTTCCAAGTGACAAATCTGGAAACAAGAACGTTGATTATTGCTGGTTTTTGCACCAAGCGAACCTCTTTTCCGTTTCCTGTGTAAACAGCAACCGTTCCCATGTAGATAAAATACATCGCATGTCCGGCATATCCGGCCAAAACGATGACATCGTTGGGCAAAAAAATCTCCGAGCGCAATTTTGTCACGATTCTYAGRAAGACATGAGTGGGCAAATCCTTGAAGAATTCCACRTTTTCGACCATTTTCTGGCATCGATGTATTAAAATGTCTTGCTTCAAAACGGAGGATAAGTTACTCAAAACGTCTTCTTCTCGGAAGATGTGCTTCTGGAACTTGAAGTCGACGTATTTTAGAATTCTGTCTTTCAGTTGCGTTGGCAATTCCTTGTATTTCATGTATTCCCCGATTTCTTCGATGAGATTATTGTATTTACTTTTCGAACTGGAACGCTTTTGGAACATTCGCATTAATTTGGCTACAAGAAATGTTATCAATTGTTTGTTTCCCCTAAATTAATTTAGTACCTAATATTACAATCTGCAAAATAGCCCCCATAGCCAGACCAGTGATTTGGAAAATCATCACCACAGTACTGGTGTTGATTTTCTCAGTTAAACCAACCAACATTGTGCATCTCACTATGCGAAAAAACGTCATAAGCATCGGAAACCCCTCAATTCTTCTCTTGAGTAAAGGGCGAGAATGTACGATTTTCATGACCAAGAATACAAGACATGTTATCCAAATTAATAAAATTGAGACCCATAAGAAGAAGCAAATAAACTTTATGCCAGACGAAAGTTTCATTCTCTGAAATAGGTAAGAATTTAAAAAAAGTCACTCAAAAAGATGTAACAAACCTCTCCTAATTTGTACAAATACTTGACAAGTGTCGGCAAGCGTACTATTTTTAGCAAATTAAGCATCTCTAAGATGTTATCTTCGTCATAGTGCTGCCAATGCAGAATCATATGGTACGGTATGGAAGAAACAATATCGAAGATAAAATATCGACAAATGTAATGCTTTGCAATTTCTTTAGACCCCAACACAATTCTCTGATGCTTTACGTCGTAATACCCGGTGAAAAAAATGAGGATTATGTCCACGAAGGATATGATATCGAGAAGAAACTTTACGTAGAAAAGCATCAACAATTTCCCTTCAACTTTTGAAGTGGATATCACCCATGGAATTGTAATAAACAATAAGAGAAAAACTGGAATCATAAACATTTCCCACACGAAACGAACTTGACTGAAGGGATGTATCATCCAAGGATGGCGATGAAAATGGTGTTGTTCTTCGACGTATATTTGGGCAGTGGACTTGAGAATTGTTTTGCTTTCTGGAATTGAGTTGTTGACTGTTTTCCACTTCCAAATCCGGCGACGCAATCCCACGAATAAGCCGCTGTGGATGCGATAAGCCAAGGTTTCGCCGTGGATAGGGAGAGCACAATTGTGGTCTGGAATCTCCCTAATTGGAGCCGGCAGTTTTATGTGTTTCATTTCCAAATTTTTAAATTCGATGTTATAACGTTTATTTATGACGTTTGCTGATGTAATGTGATTGTGTGAGAAAAACAGACATCAATAGCAACCAAACGTGCATTTCTCTGGTTTACATCTAGTTACCGACGCACAGAAGTCCAAATTGCTCAAAACCCACGCAAAACTCATTTTTGCTAATTCGCGTCTGAAAGAAAGCTTATTTCGATACCAAAACCGATGCTCTAGTGAGCCATGTCAACACCGATTCAGGTGGTGAAATAGACTAGTACAATTTACTTTCTAGAAGTTGGTAATGGTGGTGGTGTGCATGAAATATTTGCAGCATTTATTCAACAAAATTTTGAAAAATACTTGACTTGACTTAACACTTCGAAAATCGAACTTTCAAACTTTGAAACATTTATCACCAACCACAACTTATTAAAGCAAAAGTTCCTAAATTTTGAAAAATTGACTTTTATCTTAAAAAAGTACTTAAAACACGCAAAATAGAAAAAAACTTGTTTCAGTCCAAAATCAAGAAAAAAACGAACTTTTCTTTCTACTGAGTTATAATAATAAAGTTTTAATTACAGATTTGCTGGTTTCAGGTAAAGCAAAAAATGTTTTTCCTTTGCAGTTTTACGTAAAATCAAAGATAAAAATTTCTTTCCTCTTATAAACTCAATCCAGGAACATACTGTATATTGAAGCAAAATTTTTTATCTTAAGAACAAATCAACATATTGAAATGATTGTTTTTTAAACAAATACAATTATGGGACAATTTGGAACCAGAATTTTATTAAAGTTCGTCTTTTACATTTTCAAAAAGTTTTTCATTTTCTATCAATGGCAGACTTCTCCAAAAATCACCATTTTTTAATTTCGACTCGATTAGAGATAAGTTGTTTGGACCTGCGATTTTTAATTGGAGGATTGAGTCAGAATTTTTCGAAACTGGAGGCCAGTCGATTGGTACTTTTGGTACTCTGAAACTTTCCTTCAGAAAAAAAATTAGTTTTTTGGGACTTACCCATTTTTAGCAAAAGAGGTGAAAATGTCAACTAGGAGTTCAACCATTTTTCGGTCGCCCTCAGTACTTGCTGTGTCAACAGTGGTTTTAAAAACATAAGCCGTATCGTCACCATGCGCGGCCCCTGAAAGCAAGTTTTTAATTTTCGGTCTACAAGTCCGAAAATTTGGTAGTACCAAAGTTTTTGTTGGTACCGGTCCGACTTTCAGACCGACTGTGAGCTCCTCGGTACTCGAAAAAGTACGAATACACTGGTGACGTCATTTGTGGTACTTGCATTCGGATGGCGTCATAAATCCCATTGACAAAGACCCGATCTGAAGTTATTTTGACAAAGTCCATAAAAGTACTCCTTGACACTTTTTTATTTCCAAGGTAGTACTTCCGAATCTTCTGACTAACTTCGTCACGTAATTGGGGCTCAACAGTGTAATTGTAGTCCAAAATAAATGGTACTATTTCGTTCCAACGAGTGTCAATGTCTTCCAAGTACTGCTCATCGATGTAAAAGTCTAAAAGCGATTGTTAGACAAGTTTTGATAAAATTGTAAAGTACCTGAGGCTGGGTACAGCCCTTCAGAACTCGTATAGGACGCCAGCCAGGGCAAATCGGTGATTTTTTTCTTTTTGATTAGAATATAAGGGTGCTCCGGTAGTACCGGATCTTGCGCCCATGAGTCTACAACAGGGCCAAAAGGCGTATATGGGTTGTACAACCAAGGCTGGAAGTCTTTCACAGCGGCCACAATCTGACGCCCTGGCCGCCATTTTAAACACTCCACCATCTTGTCATTGCGTTTGGTACCACATCCAAGCAAAGCTGCCAATTTTTTGGCTTTTTCGAGCGGTTTTTCGGTTAATACCCACTGGTTTAACATAGTACCACTCTGTGAGATGCCCCGATGGTACAATCCGCGTGACTTGGGTGACAGGTAGTGGAAATGCACACTGGCACCCCCAGCCGACATACCCGAAATTGTGACCGAATCAGGGTTTCCACCGAAGTACCTGATATACTTTTTCACAAATTCTAAAGCGAAAATTTGGTCTTTCATCCCATTGTTCCCGGGTACCACCTCATCTTCGGTACTCAAAAATCCCAAAGGACCCAGTCTGTAGTTAATACTGACATAAACCACATCCTTGTCTAGTAAGTACTCAGGCCCTTGAAAACCCGCATAATTAAACATAAAACAGCCCCCATGTATAAAAAAAATCACATCCAAGTTGGCATTTGGGTCAACATTGGGGCTATAAATATTTAAATACAGACAATCCTCATCGCCTAAAAAGTGGTACTCAGTTTGAGTTCAAAGTTATTATCTGGTACTCACCAATGACAAAGTCACCACCTGGTGGTGTGTATTGGAAGTTTTGCATACATTTATACAAAATTTTGGCTTGCCATATACCTTGCCAGGGTTTTGGTGATACTGGTTCCTAAAATATCATGGCAACCAATAGATTACGTAAAGTACTACTTACTCGAAAACGGTACTTTCCGACCGGTGGCCTCGCATATGGTACTCCCTCAAACTTATAAAAAGTACGGCCTTTGAGACTGGTACCGCGGGTACCTTCAAGCTGACCCAAATCGGGTAAAGTAACTTGGGGTGCATTTGCGGCCACTAGGGTGGTACCCAAGACCAGTAACACGACCGGCAGCATGACTTTGCTCTTATTGAAGATCACGAGTTTTATCAGACAGCTGATAAGTATAGTACCATTTACGAAATCACTGATTTTGTTGTTAAATGTTTATCGAATATGTAAATACATTATAAATATTTATAAAATGATTAAAATATTTCACAAAGAATGAGACAAAAACACTTATCAGTATAATCGCTATTAAAACAAAAACATCAAGGTTGTATTTACCTGACTTTAAACATTATTGTGTCGTCTTTTAAACATGAAATTATTATTGCTAATAGTGCTAATTAATAGCAATTTTTTGGTGGCACTTGGTACTTCTGACCCACTAGTGGACATACCACCACTAGGAGTACTACAGGGGGGTTATAAAACAAGTCTCAAAGGTCGAACATTTTATTCTTTTGAAGGAGTACCTTATGCGAGGCCACCAGTTGGAAAGTACCGTTTTCGGGTAAGTACTTCCTATTAATTTGAATTGTTGAATCATATGTGACAGGAACCGGTACCACCGAAACCTTGGCATGGCATTTGGGAGGCCAAAACTATATACAAATGTATGCAGTACTACCAATATACACCACCAGGAGGCGATTTTGTAATTGGTACTACTTAAATCTTTTAAGTACATTCCTTCAGAGAAAATTGTAGGTGATGAAGATTGTCTCTACCTGAATATCTATACTCCAGAATTGGACGCTAAGGCCAATTTCGACGTCATAGTTTACATACACGGGGGCGCCTTTATGTTCAATTGGGGGGGTATTCAAGGGCCGGAGTATCTCCTCGGCAAGGATGTGGTTTATGTCAATTTGAACTACCGTTTGGGGCCTTTAGGTTTTTTGAGTACTGAAAATGAGGTGGTACCCGGAAACAACGGTTTGAAAGACCAGATTTTGGCCTTGGAATGGATCAAAAAACATATAGTTTATTTTGGGGGAAACCCGAATTCCGTTACTCTAATTGGCATGTCGGCAGGAGGCGCTAGTGTTCATTTTCATTACTTATCACCTAAGTCACGTGGGCTGTTTCATCGAGGCATGTCACAAAGTGGTACCATGCTAAATCCTTGGGTACTAATGGAACAACCATTGGAAAAAACCCAGAAAATGGCCACCCATTTGGGGTGTCCCACTGACACTAAATCAATGGTTGAATGTCTAAAAAGACGACCAGGGCGACAAATAGTAGAAGCAGTCCGTTACTACCAGCCGTGGTTGTATAACCCATTTAGCCCATTTGGGGTTGTGGTAGATTCGTGGTCGCAGGACCCAGTCTTGCCTGACCACCCTTATAATTTAATAAAAAGCAAAAAAATGATTGATTCGCCCTGGATTACGTCCTATACAAGTTCCGAAGGGTTGTACCCCGCTTCCGATTTCTATATCCAAGAAGAGTACCTTAATGAAATTGATAAAAAGTGGAACCAAGTTTTGCCATTTATTTTGGACTACAATTATACACTTGACCCAAAAAAACATGAAGAGATCAGTCAGAAAATTCGTAGGTTCTACCTTGGGGAGAAAAGGGTGAATCGGGAAAATTTCCTCGACTTTGTTAAAATTTTAACTGATCGATTGTTTGTCTATGACATCCAAAAAACCATATTTTTGCAAAATCAAGTAACCAACTCGCCGATTTTTTTATACTATTTTGCATACAGAGGGGCTCATAGTAAGTCCGAAGCGCGTTCGGGTACTAATATAAATTTTGGAGCCGCTCATGGCGACGATACTAGTTATATTTTCAAGACAAATGTTGACACAACCAGTACTGAAAAAGACCGAAAAATGATCGAGTTATTTGTTCAAATGGTGGCGTCGTTTGCTAAATCGGGGTAAGTTTTATTTTAAATGTTTACTAGCGTGGTACCACTTAAAAATCAGAGTTCCAGATCTGCCAGTTAAGTGGACACCAGTACCTAAAGATATGACCAATCAACTGACATATCTTAAAATCTATTCCCCATCTAATCTCACTCAAGAAACATCGGTTCTTGGTAGTACCAATTTTTGGGATTCGTTACCAATCAAAGAAAACGAAAAAWTACTTTCTGGTGTAAAAGACGAACTTTGATTTGTTTTTTTATAATAAATAATGTAACAAATTATGGATTGTTTTATGTCTGATAACAAAACCAAAATTTGCTCTGGTTTGATAAAAATGCGACAATTTTGGCTAATTGTTACACAGTACCAATCGTGGAATTGCTCAATTTAAGTTCGAGAACGCATCATAATCAGTTTGCTATATGCTCAACCACCATTTTGGAGAAAATCGAAATAAAAAAATTAATTTGTCAGAATTTAAGACAAGTGGATCTTTGGGATGAAATTTGAAAGGCTAGTAGTAGTATATTATAAACGTATACAGTAAAACCAGTACTCTCTTCCTGAGCAAAATCGGGTGATTGCGTGGGACAATATTTTGATAAGATTTGTGACAAAAATTGTCTTTATTTGAACATTTACTTTACAAGCTTGAATGGTACTGTGATCTAGTTGTGTACATCCATGGAGGTTCCTTCATATATAATTATGGCCCTAGTTAGGTACCATAAAAATACTACGTATGTTTTTTGAGTACCTAAAATAACGTAAAAGAGAACAGCCAAAACTATGTATGTTTGTAAAAAATATATCCACTATTAAAGGAATCAAGAACTAAAGTACCGAATTACTGAACTCCCTACCGGCTTTAGAAAAAAAATCACTCGTGCCAGAACTCAATTTTGATATCAGTTATAAATAAATGACCTTTGCCCTCTTTCGACAATATAAGTTTAAGTCGTAACTCATTTTACATTACAAGGACCAACATGTTGGTACTACTCGCTGTTGCTGTATTTATTTCAGCAGTGATACCGTCCAAACTTCCGGTTGTAACTTTACCGAAGTTGGGTCAGGTTCAAGGTGGTACCAAACAATCGCTAAATGGCCGAACTTTTTACTCCTTTGAAGGAGTACCATATGC